AAATATAAGCTTTAGCAGAAGCTATCCATCATTTGCAGAAAACTATATATATATATATATATATATATATATATATATATATATATAAAAAATCGAAATCAAGTTTTAACCTAAGCCTAGTTATCATCCTACAAATCAGTCATCGAAATTTCCAACAGCTCAGCCCTACAACACTCAGGAAGGGATCCTGACTGTAATTGATTACATTATGAACATGAAGGGACATGACTTTAAACACATAAACACACACAGAGATCATTCATTCCCAATGACGTCGTCTGTTTTGATGAACCCAGTCAGCCCAACAAAAAACTGTCACAAACTCAACTAGAGCTGTTATTATCACGGTACAACGCTGAACATGAACTGGCAGAGTTCATTTAAAATACGTGCAAACTTAAAAGACTTCAATCTAAAACACGAATCTCAAATGGTGTTTAAACAGAAGAAACTCCCACTGCTATTTAAATTAAATAGTATTTTTCTGATAATCCCAGAACAAAGTAAGGTGGAAACAGGTCAGAGCCTGTCTGCAAGTGAGCTAACGGCCTCAGTAGACTTTTGGTCTTTATATCTTCTGAAAGATATAAAGACCAAGAGTTGCTCCTTTTAATGTGAACATAAGAGAGAAAACACTTCCTAATAAATCTGTGTTTAAACTGGAATACGGTGTACTGTAGAAACGGATATACAAGCCGTTTCTTTCTGCGAACATGCAGCAGCTGATTCATGGCATGACGACAGAGTGTCCTGTCTGAAATGAGTGGTTTCTGCGCTGTCGTCTAAACTGCTCATAAACAGCAGGAAGTTAGGAAACAAGAGAAGTTTAACTGACTGAGTCACATTTCACTACAGATGGTTCAGGCTCCCACAGCCCAGTTAAAAAAAACTAAAAACACTCAGAGGTTGTTTGGTAATCATTTTCACTGTCCACTGATAAGAGGGATTTGTCACCAAGGACCAGAAAGGCTGTGGTCTTTTCTTTCTTTCTTTTAATTTTTTTTTCCAAACAAATGTCCAAGTAAAAGGCTTCCAACTTTCAACCTTTGCATTTACATGTTTTTAAATATATCAGTTCATCTCTTAGCCTTGGTCTTACAGGTACATTAACTCTTTAAAAAAAAATCTATTTCCCACAATAAAACCCCTAAAACATAAATTCCAAAATATCAATTCCTGTGATGATTACAACTCAAAACTAAAATGATCTATGCAAAGATCCAAATGTGTCAAACCTGATACACTTAGTACCAAGTTTGCTACACTTGGTATAAAACTGTGTCAAACATGTAACGTGGGAGTTCTCAAAGAAACAGGAAGTGAAGAAGGTAAGCGAAGTGAAACAGTCAGAAGGAAACCACATTCTGAAACGATCACATTGAAGTCTTGGTGGAAGGAAGATTCATGCTCTGTCAGTTCTAGGCTATAATATACGGCATCATTTTTTTATTTACCAAAAAACTAAACCAGAATGCAGACAAAGTGAGTACAAAACCCAGGCACTAGTAATATAGTCACAGTATTCACCTCAAGAAACATTTTGGCAGTGTGCTTACACAATGCCAGGAAGATAGCATTAGTAATTAAGGACACAATTCACACCAGCCCTGTTTATTCCACTCTAATCAATAGTTTGCTTGCCTATAAGGTCCTGGGTCATTTGGGGAGGTGAGAATACACAATCAAACTCTGATGTGGATCAAGAAATCCAACTCTGATCTGCTTAAAAACCTCAGTCTCTGTTCTGTTGAAGTGAAATCTGGCATGGTTCATATATGTGAATGTCAAGCGGACCAAAGACCGCTCCAAAATCAGAAAGCAGACTATAGGGAAGGTCATTTTGGGTAAATACAACCAAAACAAATGCACACGTCTAACGCTAGAGGGAGAAATGGCTTGTGGTCTTTTACAAACAACAAAAGAGAAATCCTACAACTACTAAAAGTTGATGTTATGCCATTTTTTGTTTACATTTTGTGAAGAAGGACGTTGCACTCATGTCTTCTTCAGAGGTTTTTGTGTCATTTCTCTCAGTGGTTCTTGGTACAGCGCCACCACAGGCAAAGGGAAGTACACAGGTTTTTCAAAGGGTTTGGATTATTTGACAGTGCAGTGTCAAAGCAGCTAAAAATGTAAGAAATGTTGCCGTTTTGGTTCCCAGTCAAACCAAGTTTACCAGACTATCAGGTATGAAAACACCCTGAGAGAAGTGAAAAATAACTTCTAAATTATCTGGAAAGGATAAGGAGGTCATTGGTCATCTTTAGCCAAAATGCTCAAAAAAAATTTTTGAACCTGAACCCAGCTGTCATGAACAGTGGTGGTTGAGGGATGTTGATGGCAGAGTGTACTTGAGTTTATCTTAGAGCCACAGCACTTGGATGCCTTGTGTCATAAAGTCGAAAATGGACTCTCCATATACCAAAATGTTCTACAGTCAAATATAAGGCCGTCCGTCCAACTGCAAAAGCTTCTAAGTGTCCTGCATAAAGTGCAATCAACAGAATGAGTAAAACACATAAGAATCGAGGTGTTGCAAAAGCCTAGTCAAACTCCAGACATCAACCTGTCTGAAATGCAATGTTGAGCCTTAAAAGAGCTGTGAATAAACCAATTCCTGCAAACCTCAAAGAACTGAAGAAATGTTGGGAAGATGAGTGGGCCAAAATTCTTTCACAACGTGAAAGAATGTGGGAGGCTGGAAACGTCATCCAGGAAATTATTGCTGCTCGGTGAGAATCAACAAGCTGCTGGATAATAGGTTGAACTTAATTTTTTCTCACACCAATTTCCTGTTTTTGTTGAGATTTTTGTCTGTAAATAATGAAGCAGTGTAATGTTCCTCAAAGCTTAATTTAACACCTACTGAAGAACAGATGATTTTTGTTTCGTCTTGAAACATGAGACCATCAGAAGTTAAAGAGCATACTTTATTTCACACCTCATGTGTTTGGATACGACACCTCCCCTACCAGATGGAAACTCACCTCCTTCATCTTGACGGCTGCTGTCCTTCTGTTTCTTCTCTCCTTTCTTGCCTTTGCTCTTTTTCTGCAGAGAGGAAAAAATGGAAGATGTCTAAGTTAAATTTATTTTTCCCTTTTGAGGCTCTTTACTTTCCACAAGTCTTCTGCTCACAGCTGTAAAGATGGACCAGTTTTGACAGAAAGTGATCATAAATCAGATAACCATCAGCAGTGTGCTGTCAGTAAGATACAAATCTGCTGGTGTTTCACAATTGAAGCTGGCACATTTTACACCAAGACTAAATGTTTCCACTGTGACCTAAGAAATACAGGATTCCCAGATCCAAAATGGGACAACGTTGTGCAAATAATACCGTTATATAAGGTGAAATGCAATCATCCATCCATAAATTACTATAGAATAGCTTATCTGACACTGGATTGCAGAGCTAATAGGTATATAAAGGGAACACACATCCCAAGGAGTTCCCTGGAAGAAAGGACATGCAGTCTTTCTAGAAAGTCCTTTGGTCTCCCACTTTCAGAAAGTACTAGAAAACTTTCAAAAGGAGGCACATAAAAATCATCCTGAAGAGATAACTCACTCCAGTCCATTTCATGTAAAGGATCTTTATTTCTAACTCCACCTGGATGATGGAGCTCCTTTTAGTAACTTCTACCCAAGATTTGTTTCAGTCATAATCCATATCGCTTGACTGCTATGAAGGGCTGGAACATAGATTGACCAATAAATTGAGAGGTTTGCCTTTCAGGGTACCTTCTTCTTCATGGCAACAGATCAGAACAACCCCCTCAGGAGCAGATGAAGCTCTGATCTCTTCAATCAATCTCACTGATTCCATATTGCAGAAAAGAAGGCATCCAGTTTGGAAACTGGAGATCTTATCTTTGCAGGTGATCAAGTTAAACTGATTCAAGCTATCGTCTTCTTTGTGCACTGAGGTGATTCAAAACTAGAAATAGAGAAGCGCAAAGAGCTCATTACTGCGGATGAAGCCAAGATCAATCTAGGCATCGTCCACTAAGATTCTTTAACTCTTGATGTAGACTAAACTTTCAACTTGGAAGGCCTCAGCACATCCTGAAGGTTATAGCTCGAAGACATCAACAGAACTGCATCATCTACAAAACAATGTAATCCTGCTCATAAATACAAACAGAATTGAGACCAGGAGCAGCCCTGGAGGAAACCTCCAAGATGACTGAGCTTCCCTCATTTTGGGGACAATGCAGACACAGATCTTTAGTTATGAAGACACTGTATAGAGGTCTGTAAAAGCAACTCTAGCAAACCTGGCAATGTAGCTACTGTGATACAATGAGGCAGCCTTGACTGGACATTGAACTGAACTACCATGGCTGACATTCTCAGAATTCAAAATACATTTTATGAACTGACAAAGAGTGTTAGACAGTCACCCATAGATGTGTTTTAGTTAATTTAAGCATAAAAAGGTATTTCAGGATGGAAATGTAATTTGATCACACTGCATCCAGGATGATCCACTCAAAGAGAACCTGAACAGAACCCCAACAAACTAAAGACTAATGTTCAACTGGATGAGCAGAATAAGCCCTGATCCTCAGAACAAGAGTAGGAGGTTTCTAATTGTGCTCCACATGAATGAAGCTGTAACTTTCTCTCTTTTACTGAAGCATTATGTAACCTCAGTGGCTGCATGACAACAGACCACCGTTTGTGTTCTAGCTGCCAGCTTTCAATGATTATGTCTAACAAATGCAACAGAAATCACAATACAATATTAAAGAAAAATAATTACTGTATTACAAAAATGACCTGGAATCTTTATTATATAGCCCAGTTTATGTTTTGTTAGAATCATTACATAATTTATCGGACTAACAATATATTATTTAAGTGAGAGAATGTTTTACTGTTTGTACTTAATGGCCTTGTCATAATATGCCTTTGGGATGTTAACATAACTCTCATGGCATAGCAGGTTTCTTGAAAAAAATGTCTCTAAACAATCAGCCATTCCAATAAGTGCTTTATGTACATTTTCTGATTCAGAATCTATCATACCAAGACGGACTATTTGTTTTTGAACCATTCGATCTTAAACAAATGTGCAAAAGGTTGTTGACTACAGGGTAGAAACAGGCAAAATCAGCACATCAGCTGAACAGGTGATTACATCAACGGCTAAAGCTCCTGATCATTACTAGATATTTTCAGTAGCTAAAGGTCAGTGGATCAGTAGACAAAAACAACAACAACTGTACATAGTGATAGCACTGTTAGATACCACATTTGATTTCCTATTTTTAACCCATTTCTAGTTTACACAACGTTGCAAATCTCCACAAGCTCCTCTGTCTCCCAGTCCAGACTCCAATGAAGACGTTGTTGATCTGGATTATTTCAAAAAATAAAGAAGATAAACATGATAGATATTGATGACTAAAACCCATCCAGCTCTGCACTTTGTAACACAAACACAGTGAAGCGTGGATCCAAACACTCGCAGAAATCATCTCTGCAGTCAAACACAGAGAGGTCAAACAATCACACCTTAAACCTGGTGCTCCCCTCACACACCACATAAACACTTTATTCAAACTGAGCTGGAACAATAAATATCTGTGGCTCAAACACATCGACGTGGAGAAAGAGAAGGAGGCGGAGGGAGAAGGTGGTGCTGAGGAGAAGCATGTGTTCTTGCAGGGGCCCTGGGCTTCATAAAGGCCGTAAATCTCAGCAGAGACTCTTCTGTTTCTGCAAAGCTTCGCCTTCAAGAACAAACCTCACCACACAGAAAAGTACAGCTAAGAGCAGTAACCAGGCTGGGGAGAACATCCGGCAGTCAGCTGATTGGCTTGTTTAAAAGCTTTAGGTGGGGCTAAACTAAAACCATAATACTTTTAGAAAAAGTGAAAGATGTCAAAGATCCAAATAAATTCAACAAAAAAATAATAATTAAGAATTAATAAATCTACCAGAGAAACATTTCCATTCACTTAGTCTGGACTATTGTATAACTGTAGTGATCTTTAAAAACAAGCTCTAGCTTGTGCTTCTTACTAGTTTTTAGAAAGAATCACTGAAGACTTTAAAGTATCTAAACTTGACTTAACTCAATGCATATTAACTTCTAGAAATGAAACAACATGGCTAATAAACTTATCGCAACATAAGCATATCAGTCAATATCAATAATTATTGATAAGTCTTTTTGTTTTAAATATATTGCCAAACTAATGATTTGAGCTTTTATTGAGAAATAAAAGGCTTTGGTTCACCTTTATCCACGGTTTTTGGTTCACCTTTATCCACGGTTTTCACTTCAGCCTATTTAATTTTAAGCAGTTATGAGGCACGAGGGCAAAACAGTAAACTGCTGTTGCAAAAGTGACTCAAGAGGTTGTTGCTAGGTAACCAAAGAGAGAGCGAGTTAGTCGACGCCACACATGATGTCACTAAACAAAATCGCCCTTCAAAAATATAATCAGAATAGAAATTATTGAGCTCATTTTATTTTATCACGTGATTAATTGATTAAGTGGTTAATAGGACAGGTCAGATGAAAACAGTAAACAGAACTCCCAGGCTAAATTAAAGTCTGAACCGCGTCCTGCTGAGATCTGATGCATTAGCTCACCATCAGTGACTCAGAGGAAACTTATCACAAAGAAATAAAAACTCTGGCTCAGCTGACTGTGAGAGGGTTTACTGTTGGGTCATTAAGAGCTCATTGTAAGATGAGTCAAATATATCAAAGGATGAGATCAAGCAGCAGCTTGGCTTCATTCACGGCTCCTTTTGAAGAATTACAAGTTCCCCTGTTATGACTGAACAGAAGCTCAGCACTTTGAGAATATCTGTGTGTGGTTATTTTCAGAGTTTACTAGCAGCTATCTGCTCCATGATTATTAAACATCTGCTAAACAACAGATGTTCTGGTTCACATCTTGAGCTTCTGGGGCAGCATCATCACAAACTAACCAACAGCTCCCTGCTGGTTGTCTGTACACAATCAGCAGTTCGGGTGTCAGAGGTTCTCACAATTAAATCCACTGTAAGAACATATGTTGAAGTAGGTGACTTCAAAAGATGAAAGAAGTTTTGTTCCTGTTTTTCCCAAATATATTATGTAGGATTCAGACACAGCAGTTCTGTGCAACACTGCAGCTAAAATTGGGGCTGTTTTCAGAAACACATTTTTGCAGTTTTTGGGGTGGATCAAATCTTTGGTTTTAACATAACGTTCCCAAACGTCTGAGCCCTCGGTGAGTGCAGAGGACCCGAAGAGTTGTCGTCTTGCACAGAGGGAGAACGAAGACGGGGAGCGACACGTTTCAACATGTAGACATCAGCACATCAGGGAGCAGCAGTGCATCTAATCTGGTTTCTGTTTTATTCTGAGAGGACAGCTGCATAATAGTGGAGTATATTCATGGATGAACATTGATCCTGTCTAGCTACTGCTTCTCCACATGAAGAGGAGTTAGCTAAAGTGGCTAATCTAACCAGGATGTAACTTCAGTCCTTACATTTGCATGTTTCCCAAGCAGAACCCAAAAAGACAGGGCATCAGAAAACACTCATGGCTTTCTGGAGGAATTGACTAAAGTTCAAACCAGACATGCATATTAACCTAAACTGACCAAGTACAGGGAAAGTTTAGTCTCATTTAATATCAGACGGTGAGAAAAAAAAACATGTCTTTTATACTGTCTGTGTAAACATTTGGTTTCTGTATATATTCCTCGTGGTCAGGGAACGCCTTCAGATTTACCAGGAAGAATTATGTAAAGGGATCTCTGGAGCCTGTTGCTACAGTTACCTGGACACAACTAAGCAGAAAACAACAGATGGATAAATATTTGGATAGATGCACTTTAAAATGTTTAAACAAATAATAAAAAAAAACAATTAAAGTAAATTGTGGTAAAAGCATAACTTATCACAACACTTTTTATTTTTAATTTTGTTTATTCATAGATTGAGAAATAAAAGGCTTTGGTTCACCTTTAGAAATGAAGGGCTTTTTAAAGTAAAGAGACTTCTCTGATGATAAATCAGAAAAAAATGACTTTCCTTTAGGCACATGTCCTTTTAATGAGGACAAGTGAAGTGGTTCCATCATCAAAATATCCTTTTCTCAAAGGACAATATTACAAGAAGATGGGTCAGTAGTACTGACAAAATTAAACATGGCTGCAAGACATAAACTTTGACTAAAACACCCACATATTTTTAGTTCCTCCTTGTTAGATGATGAAGTCTGTATTCTCTCCAAGAAATGTCAAACTTCCTGTTTTGTTTGTTTCCTGTACTGAAGAGTTTCAAGGTCATCAAGTTCAGCCCAATGCTCCAAACTTATTCATCCTGTTTAACTTTGAAGCTTTCAGACGACTTCTTCATGCCTAAATCTTGTTTCTCTTTAAACAATTTGGTGAGCAGCGGCCCAGACAGAGACAAGAGATAGTTTCCAGGTTGGGAACAGTGACAACAGAGTCGCATTCAAGGAACAAAAGCTGGACAGGTCTGAATCAACCCACAGTCTGCCAAGATTCCTGTAAGATTTCTGCATTCTATTTCTGTTTGGAAACCAGACAGACTGTACATAAATGCAATCCAAGAGGGATTAAACTTCCAGGCTGGAACTGTTACCTAAAGGTAAACATGTCTGATCAATACATGGTTTTCCAATGTGGTCCAGGTTGCTAAACCAAGCCGGACGACAGTCTCCCTAACCTGACTGGACTTGAATGCACCAAAACCTTTAGGGTAACAGGGGCCTGACCTTTTTAAAGCAGGAGTGATGGGCACTCTGTGTTTACATCCAATATGTCAGAACTTATTTGGTCTGTTTCAAAGAATAATCCCGTTAAATCCACCAGGGTGGGACGATCAGCCTGTTGGACCGACCTGCTTCTGTTCTCAGCTTATCAAGGATTTACCCGGCTTTCCTGTTACACAACAGCTTCTGGAGACGGCTTCTCTGATGAAGAAATAAGTCTGGAGGGAGGCTAAGGGCTAAATTATTCCTTTTTGTTCTCTTCAACTGAAATCTTCCCGCTAATTGTTGGCTCTTAAGGTGTTGAAAAGATGAGGCTTTCCCTGGAAGACGTTGATTTCCGATTTTCCTTAATTTACAACAGGTTGAAGTGATTAGGAAACTATAAGATTATTTCCATTTATGCAACAAAGCAGCCATCTCTGAATATTCTTAGTTTTGTTGCATTAAATAAATCAGAAAACTGTTTTTTTTTTCCTCTCAGTGTTTGACCTAAATTGATCATCAGTCAGTGATGATTAAAAGAAAATCAGTGGATTTTGATTTATTGGGGAATTTTTTGAGCAGGTCAAAATTCGGTAACACTTTATTTGAAGGGGGTTGAACAAGACTGACATGAGACTGTCATAAACACCTGTCATGAACATGAATAAGTCTTCATGAATATTTATGACTGTTGTCATAAAGCATCATTCGGTAAATTATGACACTTAACACAAAGTTGACATTATTCAAAATGTCTTTGTTATGACAACTTGACATTAACCAAGAAATCATTACTGTTTAAACTTTACCTTTAATAACATAAAGTTACCTAATTTTTAAAGTGCAATCAGTAATACTTTTATAACAAATTTATATCAGTAATGATTTCTTGGTTAATGTCAAGTTGTCATAACAAAGACATTTTGAATAATGTCAACTTTGTATTAAAAGTGTCATAATTTACCGAATGACGCTTTATGACAACAGTCATAAATATTCATGAAGGCTTATTTATGTTCAGTACAGGTGTTTATGACAGTGTCATGTCAGTCTTATTCAACCCCCTTCAAATAAAGTGTTACCCAAAATTCTTGCTCAATCATTCCAGATAACTGGATTATGAAATTTTAAAAACTTTGCCTGTTTTGATCAATCAAATTCAAACAAGACTACCCAGTTTAAAGAGTGTTGTGTTGTTTTCTGAACATTTTCTCTGCTTAGTACAGCTTCTCATCAATGTGCTCCAGAATAACATTCTGGAAACTCGGCACAGAAACTCATCATCATGAAGCAGATGTCCACAAAAGCCTCCAAGTGCCCAAATCAGTATGTCAACAAATCAAAAAAAGGAGAAAGAGCACCTATTATCAATCAGAGCAACCTTAAAGTGACAGAAACTAAAGCAAAACGTTTTGAACTCGAAGACAGATCCTCACAGTTCACCGCCCCATAAAACCTTGACAAAAACAATTCTGTTCCAGAAAAATGCCTTTCCCTCAATAGATCTCCTGAGATTTCTGATGCATCGTTCCAAATCAAGCAGCTGTTCCCAATCTCACTCTCTCTTATCAGTTTAGTTTGCATGGAAACATTCTTGATCTGACAAGCGTGGTCATTTCTCATCCAGATTACAGAAGCTTCCATATGGTATCCAAACAAAGTCTGTTCCTCCTTTAGGAAAAAACTGTGGAAAACCATTGGTTTGTTTAGCGTTTCCAGATTTGGTTGAGAAATACACAAGAGTTCAGGTGTATGTGTTCCAACTACTCTCATATACAGAGCAACATTTAAAGATTCTTAAAACTTCAAAAACAAAAGCTGTTTATTGCCTTTCCAAGGAAAAGCAATTATTTTTCATCCAACAGAAGAGAATATTTCTCCATCCATGTCTGACCTTTTGATCTGAATGCCAGCAGGGTCTGCAACAAGGCGCCGTTCACGAGGAACGAGACCGTTTTACTGCCTCCTGTTGATATTTCAGTGATTTCACCCTGAGCTCATCAGCAATAAACCTGAAGGGTTGAGTCGATCCACCCAGCAGAGGAAGATCGTTTTAGCCGTTTGTATTCAAGATATAACCCACAGCTCCTAACCACAGAAGAGAGTTGAAATACTGATTTACTAGCAAATTAAAGCTTCGCGTTTTTGTTCGGCTATCTCTTCACCACAATAGACAAGCACTACAACCTCAATACAACAATCCCCAGCTCCATTCTGCCTCCACTCATAAACAAGCCCCAGAGGTACTTAAACTCCTCCACTTGGAGCGGTAACTCATTACAACCCAAAGAGGAGAATACACACACTTTTTTTTTTTTTTTCCCCACCTGAACACGATGAGCTCAGACTGCCAAGGTGCTAATCTTCATTACAGTTGCCTCACACTTTGCTGCAAAAATCTCTGGTACATGCTGGAGTGCTGTGAAGCCAGCAGGATCTCCTCAACTGTGCTAAAAAATATTGATAAAAAAGAAAAACAATACACTCTAATCCACAGAAATATAGAATTAGTGAATTTGCATTAATGACTGTGGACTGAACTGTGACATTATCATGTAAAACACTGGAGAGAAAGGCCCGTCTGGAAAGAAATACAAGAAGCTATTAGAGATGTAGCAATCAAGGTCTTACTAGCTAGTAACAAAATCTAGTTTTCCTTGAAGTCCGACATCCTGATTCCAGTTTTGACCTATAAAACTTTTTTTTTTCTTGTTGTTGTTTTTGTGGACTGTTATCCACTAAATAAAAGAGGAGCACAGGTATTTTGATAGGAGTTACAGTTTTGAATACAACAGTAAATTGCAACTTTGTCCACAGTTTTGCATCAATGTATCAGACCCTAAATATTTCCTAAAACAAAGGTCTGATTTCTCAGGTCTCCAATCTCACATACAGCTGGGCCACTGGGCTCCAGAAGGAAGTAAACATGATCTAAAAATACTTTTGAATAAAATGAAACCGAAGCTGCTTAAAGGAGCAATGCAGTACTACAGACTGATGGAAGCAGTTCAATATCAGAAAAGATTCAAATAAATCTAAATCAAAGCCAGACTCTGCTACGACGACAGGTCCACGGGCCTAGCTTTGGACACTACATGGAGTCACTTCTATCAATAACCAGAGGAGGACAGCAGCTGTCAAACTTCATGTTTTCCCTCTGAGAGGAGGAATTGCTGCCAGGAGCCCTGCAGGACAGGGTTTGCAAACCATGACAACTTCCTGTAAGAGTCCTGCATGAGGGTAGGAGATTGGAGAGCACGTTATGACCACTCTTTAAAAACTAAAGAAGAGGACGATGTCTGGCTCAAAACTAGCTTTTTCATTAAACTCCTCCACAGACCCAGGGTCAAGTTCATTCAGGTTCTGGCCACATGTAGTCTAAAGTGAGACAAAATACCTTGAGTGTTGGTTTGTTTTATGATTTATAGACTAAAAACAAGGCAGGAAAAAGCCCAAGTTGATGCAATGTATTTTACATCTTTATTTCTCATTTTTAAAATTCCTTATCTCAAAAAATGCTGCCTTTACAGATTTTAGCGTACTTGTTGTGTCTGGAGTACTGATATAGAGAGGGGGCTGGGGGAGGCAGGCGTGGGAAACCCTGAGATTCAAACACGAAGCTGATTGAAAACAGATGTTCACAAACCTTATGCCACATTTTATCTGCTGGACAGAAACCGACCAAAGCCTCCGGTCTGTCCGCCTGGTTCTGGTCCAAATGAGGGTTGACATATGTTGGCTCAAACCGAGCTCTGGACGCCGCTTACCGGGAGCTGCAGCAGCCGCTGGCCGCCCGCTAAGAAGCATCCTTCTGACAAACAACCCGAACTTCCCCCTGTAACTCTCCGCGGTGCTTTAATCCTTTTCAGCGGAGTTTCTCACCTTGCTGTGGCTGCAGCCCATTCCTCCACCACCTCGGAGCTCTGCTGTTGGCTTCTCTCCGGTGCTCCGTCCCGGTGCTCCGGATCTGCTGATGACAAACTTTCAAATTGAAGAAAAAAAAAACTTGAACGCAGCGCGGTAGACACTGACCAAGGGGTGGGGCTTATCGTGGTGCATTAAAAGACACCCAGTAAATCTAAGCGTTACACATTTATTTACGTATTTATTTTGTGTGCTTTTTATATTACGTGCTGGGCGGCGCTTGATATTTTTCTCCACCCTTTCTTTCTTTACTTTGTCTGTCTTTCATTCATTCTGATTCTTTCATTTATGTTTTAAATTAATTATGTTACTTAATTTAAAGGGAAAGTATTACGTATTTTTATAACTTTATAACATGATATAAAGCTCACAAAAGTCGAATTTACATAACACCACCCTTTTGATATTTATTATATCAAAATTTGTCTGATTTGTATTTTATATCTGATATTTTTAAGCATATTTTATTAATCCTATTTAGTTTATTATTTACTTTGTTGTTTTGTTGTTTCGAGACTAATATCTTTAATATTTTATTACTAGTTTTTCTTTATTCTAATGTCTTTCATTCTGTTTATTTTATTTTTTTTAAATCGTTTTATTTATAGTATGAATTAATTTATTTTTTTCACATTTTTATATAATTTATAGGTATTAGATTTTTTTCTTTGCATATTATTTATTTATTTATTTATTTATATTCATGACTAATTAATTTGATGTTTGTTTTACTCCCAAACTGTTTTTTATTCCATTTTAGTTATTGTCTTCCCAGCCGCGAAAGAAAGTGTTATCTTTTCACTCAGGCCTGGATTTTTCTGGATTTTTTTAAACCTCTTTAACCTTGACCAATGCATCATTTAGGTATAAAAAGTTCATAGTTCTTCCCACAGTACTAATGTCCTAATGTACTGTAGGGAGTACAGTTGCTTTGAAAGTTGTGTAATTTCTCACAGCACCTGAAGTGGCATGTTGAAATTGAGCATGCGCAGACGCGCCTCTTTTGTCTGTGAAAGCGGTTACGATAAAGTAGCAAAATTTCAGGGTCCTTCGAGATTAAAAACGCTCCTCAAAACTCGCATCTGAAGGTTGTTCGGTTTGTTTTCTACAAACCTTAAACTAATCATAAAAACATGTGGGGATGGTGTGACGTTCAAGACAATAAAAAGCTTATTTATCCAGCAGACATTCCTGATTTACCCTGATATCAAAAGCATCTGAGCTGCCTCATGTGATTTTCAATAGGACTCTGTGAAATTAAGGGGCTTTTTCTAACAGTAGCCATAGCGACAAAGTTAAACAATAATCAAGTTGATTATTGTGATTAAAATATTTCTTCACAGGCCCTTTAAAAGTTTAGATCAATTTTCTAGAGGCCTTTAACAGCATTAATTAATGTAATACTTTATTGTCTAGTAAAATAATTAACATCATCATTTCCCTAAAAATGATGATGGGATTTTCACCCAGAAAATCCCAGTTTTCCAGGTGGAAAAGTTCTCAAAGACCTATTGTGCAGAGATTCTGGGAAAAAGATCAAAGCAGGTTGTCATTTAGTTTCACCTGAGCTGCAGTTGTCTTCATGAGTCACCTGTGAGGCTTTACTGTAATAATATTACTGTAAAAATACTGCATATCTGAGTGAATCAAGCACACAGCCCTGAGTAATGATGCCTGTAAGTGCAGCTTCAGCTGCACAGTCAAGTTGGACATCTTTCTGCTTGGCTCCATGAAAACAATGACTTCACCACATGGCTACCAGCTGAAGTCACAGGCATTTCGAAACAGTTTTCCTTACTGCAATTCAGTAGACATTACGTGATAAATGTAATTTCCATAGATGTGCTCAGATTTATTGGTTAACTACCACAGCCATAAAAATATACATAACCAAAATGAAACATCAATGCACACTGAAAATGATGAAGGCATTAGTTTAAAAGTGATCATTTTAAGCTAACGCTTTGATACCAAAAACTTTAAAGATGTTAATCAAAGAGTCTACATGAGTTCTTCTCTTATGGTTCTATTCAGGAAAAATGTGAAATGCTCACTACATGTTTGTGATAAATTTCTGCCAAATGAGTTTAACCTATATCTTGGTATGTTAGATGGATGGAATATAAATTCAGTGTCAAATACCATTGAAAAAGGGGACTGAACATTTAAACAGTGGTCACCGGTTTCCCCTCTGTTCCTTCTCACGTTCTCTGACTTCCTTATCTTCAGCTGTTCTGCCAACTCAAACCTTTGCACAGCTTCATGAGATACAATCATTACATCACAACATTAAAAGGACACAATCAGAACAGATTAAAGTTTGCCTGCTGCAGCAAATGCTCAGTAAAATTCCTCTCATGTTTTGATGAAAATATTTGTCTCGATAATCTTCACAGTTCTTGGCACTTGATCTTGGACTCAGTTTTATCAGAGACATAAGAGGAAGCAGAACCTTAACAATTCCCTTGTGATAGCCTCAGGGCTTGTTGCCTTGGAGAGACGTAATTATTTTAAAGCAAACGGTGCTTATTTATTAACTATAAATTAGGCACAGATCTGTTACAGATTTTTTTTCCCATTTTTATAAAGATATGACTCTTGAGACAAAGGTTTTGTTTGATAGAACTGAACTGAAAGAGTCTTCAGCTCCTCTCAGATGATCTGCTCCTCAGCTGACCCCAGTTACTGCAGGATACTTGGCCTCCCTCTCAACATAAGACAGAGAGAAATATGCTACTTCTTGCTTATCAAAGGACTAGGAATGACTCACCTACCTAACAGATTAAACACATCCACTCCATGTGCAAACAAGTACAGTGCTGTGAAAAAATCTACTCAATCTTATGGATTTATTCCAGATTGTTTTTTTATTTGCTTTTTTGTCACATATACATGTTTCACAATGTCACATTTTAATATCAGACCATTGTATAGATAATCTTTCATTTTATTAATCAAGTTGGAAAAAACCTATACAAATCAACCTGCCTCTACATGACAAAGTTGTTGTTTGCCACACTGTTATCCCACAACCCAAAGTCTTCCTCTTTTTTCTCGACCTTAGGGAATAACGTCTTTGTGATTATCAAGATGTTTTTCTTTGGGGGTGAATGACTTTTGTGCCGTTTTAGATAGCAATAGTTTTGCCATGGAACTCTATCATTATGGCCATTCTTTGCTTTGGTCCTTTCTTATTGTTGGATTAGGAACACTTAGCATAGTAAGGACTTATCTGGCACTTTTCCAGTCAAGGCGCTTTACACTAGGCCTTCCATTACATTTGCAAACACATGCACTCGTTCATACACACCAGTATCAACATTTGGTGGCAATGAGAACAGGGTGTGGCCACTGAACCGAAATTTCCAAATCAATCCCAGTTAATTCTTCATATGATGAGGTAGGTAGGTATGTTGGTTACAGTATTTTGTCTCTTAATGAACTCCTGCTTAAATACTGAAGTGAATAAAATTCACACACAACACTGTCCTATTTAAAACTAAACTCTAGAATCCTATTTTGAGGGAGAACAAGACAAATCCAGTGATCTATAAATGTCTCCTTGAACTGTGATTCTCATATGATGTGAAATGGTGTGCAAATGAGCTGGTTCTCTCCATTTGGGGAACTAATTTTGTATTTTGATATATTCATATGGAACAAAATAGAAACACAGGCAAAAAAACCCTGAACTAACAGCCCCGGTTTAGCATTGGAACTTATTTATTGCAAAATCCCTCAATGAGCTCTGTCAAGACCATCAGTCTTTATCCTGGGATGATATTACGTCAATATAATCCCAATCTGGGCACTAGTAGAAGCACTGAATATTTTCAGGAGAGTTTTCTGAGCACAGGAAATGTTTTTGTGTTAAAATAGACAACAGAGCAGGGATATTGTGGGTACTATCACATGAATACTTATGTAATCTTCACTCACAAACATGACAATCAAATTTGCGTATAATCTCATATTTATCCACTAGTTTCTTACCAAATCGCTCTTGTAAGACTGGAAGGCCAATTTAATTAAAATTTTATTAGATCTGAAAGCAGTTGGATGCAGTCGTGCTTGATGTTTCCGTCGATGTTTCTAACGTAAAGCAGACGGCAGTTAAACCCTGGATGATGAGGTCAGTGTGGGTGGAGCTTTACAGCAACCATCAGAAAATGAAGCAGCTGTTGTTGGATGGAAACTTCATGTGACGCTGAAAACAACAACTGCTACTCCTGATTCTGCCACGACGACGACAACATGCTAAAAATACACACAAATTCACATTCCAGCCTTGATGCCGTCCTAGTGTGTGTGGGAGGGGCGGAGTTTGTGGGGTAGGGGGCGATAATGTTCAAACTTTGTCAGGGTGCAGTACTGTACAGACCGGCTGCAGATCCCAATATAAACTCAGGCCCTGACAGCTCTATAAATAGTCTGCAGGTCATTGTGGAGCAGATTACAGATCAGCGTGAGAAAATCCAAACAGTTCAACCTGAGTGGCCACCTCAGTCTAAACCACTGTGACAGTCTGGAGACTTTAGGTTCTGCAGACACAGAAAACAATGAGTTGGTCACGGTCACATTTCTGTGTAGTAAATCCTGGTTACTGACCTCAAATTCAAAACATGGAACGCAATACAATAGATCAAAAGCATATAACTATGTTTTCAGGAAAAGTATGTAGTGTGTATTAAGCTAGTGTCCCTAGTGGGCCCTAGTGGCCCTAATTTGAAGACCACTAGGGGCCACTAGCCCCTACTGTCAATAGGTTTCATATAGATGTCAATAGACATCGATATGATGTCAATAGACACTTTAGAAATGTTTCTTGGGTTACATGTGACAGTGTCCTGATGTATTAAAGATTTTTTAGTTTTGGACTTCAGAGGAAATTGAGCTTGGAGAATTTCTGGGAAGAATATTATAAAAGTGTAATTAAATCCATACTTGGGTTGCAGGCAACAGATGTTGTCTTGTTGTTTTCGCTATGGATCAGACTTCTTGTTTGTTTCAGCTCCCCTATTGCTAAGCGACACATATTTCTTTAAAAGAAAAACAATCCCCAGTATAACAGTAAGATCACATGTTTGTTTTTAAAAAGTTTATGGATTCTGTTTGTCTTGAAAGTGGCCATAAAAAATCTTTTTTTCTCTCTCTTTAAGAAAACCAAACTGCAATGTATTTTGTTCTGCTCCACTGTTAATCTTCAGATTCAATTACCTTCGAAGTACTGAAAAATCTCCAAAGAAATGGTATCACCTTGTGGAAAGAGGCAGACATGTGTAAAACCACTCAGGGTGTTATAAACTGAGATTATCTAAATATAAAGCTCCAAGAACAAAAATCTGTTAATGTGTCACCTTCTTCTCTTAGTTGAGGCTGGCTGCATGAGCCTGCTTCTGGTTCTTAATTTGGAGTAGTTTTTCCTCACTGTCAACCCATACTTATTCTGGATGATGGTGTGAAATTGAAAATCTGGTGCTATCTAAAGATTTCCTTCAAAAGATACTTTTTGTTGCCTACCAGCGACATAATCTGACTGTATTGTCGTGAATTCATTTGAAATAATATTAAACAGTATTAGATTACATGCAATTGGATTAGAGCTAGGCTAGATTTTGTGTAAAATACGAAAACATGACTGCCTTGCTAAAACTTTCTATGACATTCACAGACGTCAAAGTCCTGACTGGCAGGTCTTCTCAAAAGTTGATATTTGTCTCCATCTGCTGGTCAAATACAGGACTTCAGACCGTCATATCAGACGAAGGAGGAACTCCAGGACTGTATTATTTTAAAACTGCCGTAAAACTAACCCAGTCAAACAGGGGTGGTAGTGTCATGATCTGTGGTTGTTTTACTGCAGCTTACTGCAACTGACAAAATAATTGAATAACAAAACATCTTGAATGAGAATGTCCAGGCGTCAATTTGGAACTGGAAAAGCAAGAGCAATATTCAAGAGAAGGGTTATTGAGAAATCCATCACAATAATGTAAAAGCCTCTTTGCCAGGCCAGTTTTCACAGACACTTGATCCCAGTTATTTCTGCCAAGGGTAAGCCAACCATAGATTACGGAAAAAATTACTTTTCATTCTAGGTAGCTATTACTTTCTTCTTTTTTTTAAATAACAATATTATCTTAAAATTAAAATTACATTTGTGTTCACAAAAGCAATAAAATAAAAAGAAAATTGAAAATAGGTTTGAAAGTCAAATGAGGTGGGTCAAAATGTAGCCAATCAGCCAAACAAAAAAATTTGTATATAACATATTCATGACAAACACAGTAGGATTAGACTAGGTTGAATGGACTTTGGGTTGTTCAAATGTTGACAGACAAACAGTCTAGTTAACTGCAAAACAGATGTCACAAGAAGATCTTGCAAAAATCATGCTGACTTTGAAAATAATGTTCAACATCTATTAACATTTGATCTTCTGTTAATAGGGCAATATAGAAGAACGTGATCTATTGCCAAATATTATTGCTACAATTATTCTCTAATCTGGACTCATCAGACCATAATATCAACTTTACACATTTCAAGTATATCCTGTAAGATTCCTTGAACTTTAATCATTGTAAATGTATTTTTTTTTTGTGTGTGACCTTAAGTGCAAAAATGAAATCATGCCTCTTGGGATACAACACTGTTTAAAAGTCTTCTTGCAGTCATTTGAGAAAACTGTTAACCCATTTCACCTTTGTTCCATCTCTGCTAGGTTTGTCCTTCCATTTTGGTTATTGATCAAAAAGTCAAAGTCCAAAACAAATCCTTTGAAATTATCCTAGTTTACTTTTCACTGGCCAGTATCAACTTTTCATCAGTTGAGGTAACAACTGCATGAAGATAAATGTTGAAATATTTAAAAATATATATCTGTTTCAACTTTTAATATTTTTATTTTAGCTTCTAGAGGAAGTCTTAACGGAAGGAAAACGAGGATTAGCTTCATCTTTACTTCGGTTTGTAATTTTACTTTTTTCATTTTTGTCCAAATAGTATGGCTAAGTTTATTATTCACAATATTCAATTGTCTCTTTCTATATTTGTTTCCATAGTGGACAATGAAGATCCCACTTGCTTGCTTGCTGTTGCTTTTTAGCTCTGCATTCTGTCAAGGACAAACTGTTGGAGACCGTTACCGAAAATTTATAGCCCAGCATATCAATGGAGGCATGAGCCAAACCCGATGTGATGCAGTAATTAGCCAGAGAGGCATTTCAAAAACTGACAGCAATGACTGTAAGGAAACCAACACTTTCATCCGAGCCAGCACTAACTTAGTTAAACAAATTTGTGGAAGTGCAGGTGAGCCGTATGGTCAAATGAGGAAAAGCCTTCAACCTTTTGATGTTGTTGTCTGTACTCTGAGAAACCAAGGTGCCAGACATCCACATTGCCAGTACAGGGGGACTAGTCGTGTCAGAAGAATTGCAATCAAATGCGAGCAAGGCTTTCCTGTACATTACGATGGAGACGTTGTAGTCATTAATGACTGATCAGACCCAGCGGTCTTGTGTGCCTTCTTAAATAAAACATATATAACATTTGTGTTTCTCTGTGTGCCTTTTTGTTAATAAAACAACCTTAACATGATTTACAGTGTAAAATTAACTCAAAGGTATTCAGAAAATACTAAATTTTTATGAAATAAAATGAATATTTCCAACTGGAATATATCATAACATAGACATTATGAGTTTACCTCATACACAGTAAGGTTTCATAGGATGTGCAAAAGTCATTTTCTCCCACGGTGCTGCCAGAAGAAAGCTAGTCTCAAGGAATACTGGCCTCAATTGCAACATTCTGGATTCTTACGTGTATGATAGGAGATACATACGAATAAATTGTTGAATATTGCAGGTATGTTAGCTCTGACCTTGTGAATTCTGAACAGTGTTTAGTGCTACCATTTTAAAGCAAAATTAAATAAACTGCTAAATTAATTACGTACAAATTCACTTGAAATGTTATCATTCTATAAGAAATATCTTCTTTAGTTTCCCATTCCCCACAGTTTATGTAGTAATCTGAACTTGTTCCTGAAAACAGATTTTTCCCCACACACAGAATATATATTTTGGCAAGACAATCAATATAACAACACAGCAGGTGTAGTTAAGACAAAAAAAAAAAAAACTTTAGCTGATGAAGGTAATGTTTCATTGCATGTTAGACAAATGACAAAGTCAAAAATATTGGGTAAAATATATGGATCAAAATCCCAAGCAGTGGAACAGAATTAGAATTTTTCAAACCTGCAGCAAGTTGAGAGCAAGATAGATTTAATGAATATCTGGAAATCCTGGTAGAAATGTCATACTTTTACAGTAGCCTCTTGCCACTATCTGTCCGATATGCCATAAATGAAGTTCTCTTTTAAAATATCAAATAATCAGCTGATCCCAAGTAAGTACAGTATTAAATGTTTAAATTATTTAATCTTTAGAGTTTCTTGGCAGAATTTAATTAATACACAATATCAGAGGGTGAATTCCCAATTGCACATTTTGCTTAGGTTACTTTTTGCTCAATAACATTACCAAGTGACATATTTAGAAGATAGTACAGAATTTCTGACTCCTGATACAGTGGCAGGATTAATGGCTGATTTTATTATCTGAACTGCAGAGTTTGAAGAATTCATTGTCATATTTTTTTTTTCCTGAAAGAACTGAAGGTCAGCTTTTCAGAGGTTTGCCAGGTGATGGGTAGTTCAACTATATTTGCCCCGTCACAAAGAGAAACCAGGACAATTAAATTTGATTTTCAACAAAATTTCATCTTTATATGTGCATTTTCTCCCAATCAGACATATTATTTTTACCATCATATGTCCTCTACACGTAGGTGCCATAACTACCAAAATATATCGTCATCATATAATCTTTTGCCGCCCTTCTGCCCCACATTGCACCACCTCCAGGCCTGGCTTTCGTGTCCAGCTGAGAAAACAATTTTCAAAACTATTTTTCATCATAAGGGGTCTTTTGGGCTGCACTTTGCTTGATACCTCATTGAACATTAAACAACATTTCTTTTAAATCACCACTACCATTCCAATAATGAAAAACACTTGAAATAAGTCATCTGTACGATATATGAGCTTCAGGTTTTCATTTAAATTACTGAAAGGCAACAATTAATTCAACTGTCTACCACCAGATGGCAGCACCTTAAACTAGAGTTGACCTTTAGGTCATGGGGTAACAGAAGGCCTTCACAAATGAAATTTGGAAGGCCTAAAAGGCTCTAAGCTTTCAGAGAAACAGTGTAACACTTAGCAGAGTGAGATAATGTTTAACCAAAGCCTTTGATTATTTACAATAAAACGTATTTAAAAATATTTTATTTTACTTAAAAAGATATATTGCTTAATCAATAAGCTCTTTTCTAATGGTTTTGAACTTTTTACGTTTGTGATTTTGTTTTGCTTTCCCATTGAAGGTGAATTGTTGTTCATGTCATCTTCGTTTTACTGTTTTGAAATTCTACACTAGTTCTTGTGAAAAAAAAAACATTCCTTAGCTTCAGGATTCACATAAGAATACACAACAAAAGGTGTTTTCTTTGGAGAAGACGTCATTCTTGCATGCAACTTACAATCTCTTTTTTTTGTTTCTTCTTCTGGATGAAATTTGCTGCTGGAAAAAAATCTGAATTCTTAGGAGCAACTATTGCTAGTTATCATGGCACCTGTTAACAAGACACCTTCATAACAAAACAACAACCATGACCTTCTTTACTCCAGATAAATCCAATGTCACAGTTGTGTGATATTGCTTCTTACTACAATGAGGAAGCAATTGAGCAGCATTTCCAGATGCTGGATACGCTGCGTTATTGGCTGCATATCCATTAACACCTCTTGCAAGGCCTTTTATGCCATCTCATGAAATGACTCTTTTCATAATAAATTCCCATTACTTGCTGTTTTTATTTTCAAAATATGAGAATTAGATATGGCTAATACTTATTTGTTTAGGAACATGTTTTAATTTAAGATGGCATACTTCAACAATGCAATTCATTTAATTGAATCTTTAATAGTTTGTCAAACAAAGCTTGGTGAACCAAACAAAAAGAAAAAGAAAAGAAAAAAAACTCTCCTTAATTGAAAAATAAATGTGACCAAAAACACATTCAAGATAAAATTTCCAACAATTAAGAAGGAAGATATCTAAATAAGTGAAATTGAGAGGAGGGGTGTCCCCTGCCTTTGCACAGCATTTCATATTTTATAAAAATATCACCCTCAATGGAAAGGAATGGGAGTAGTATAATAATTTAAACTATGTAATAGCAAAGAAGAGATCATTTATTAAAAAAAGAAAAAACAAACAAAAACAGCCTCCTCCCATATCTGGGTCCCCTCCCATTCTACCTAGCCATATAAAGCTTCATAATATGTTTACGAGATCTAAATAATCAGATACCTGCCCTGATATACCCGTACAATGATGATCATACTTTATACACTTCTCCTCTTTCCAATTGGACGTGAGTATTGCTGCGAACATTAAATTATCTTGGCATTTTACATTGACGTTTATGTTCATTTAATTTGTCCTTCAGGATGTGCACAAGAACATACAACAGAAACTGTTTCTGTTGGAGCAGATGTCACTCTAACATGCAGCCGGAGACCCAGTTCTTCAGGTTACCTCTTCTGGATGAAAGTTGTTGCTGGAAATTTGCCTGAAGTCTTAGCAGCAACTTATACTTTTGATAGCAACATTGCTAACTCTACACCTCGCATCACAACAAAACAAGAACCAGGAACTTTTCTTCTCCACATAAAGCAAACAGAGCTGAAAGACACTGCTTTTTACTACTGTGAGGAAATAATAGATCTACAGAGAACCCTTTGGAATGTGACTTTTGTGAAAGTTAAAGGTAATTGGAACAATTATTTTCTGATGCTCCGCTTTCAGTTTTTAGAAGTTTCTCTGTAGGAAAATAATGTAGGTTGCATAAATTAGTTTAATTTATCCCACTGCATTCTATGCAAACTTGAAAATAATGTATTGTTCCATTATATCTCTAAGGACCAGAAGCTGAAATTACCACCGTTGTTCAAGAGCCTCCATCGCTTCCAGTCCACCAAAGAGACTCTGTGACTCTTCAGTGTTTGGTCCAGTCTGAATCTGATGACCATGCAAGTTCAGATCATCACAGTGTTCACTGGTTCAAAGCCAACGATGATGAATCTCCTCACAGTAAACTTTATGTTCATGGAAAATCTGCAAGTAAATGTGAGAGGATTCCTGAGACCCCATCTGTGAGGAAATGTGTCCACAACTTTTCACTGAGCGATGTCGGCTCCTCTGATGCAGGAACGTATTACTGTGCCGTGGTCACTTGTGGAAACCTACTGTTTGGAAAAGGAACAAAACTGGAAATTGAAGGTATTATTACCAATGTGTCATTTAAACTTTTTCTTGTTCAGAAATTATTTTGCAATGAAGCAAAATCCTCAATAATCAGAGTGTAATGTGTGCCATAATTATGACTGAGCCTTAAAGTTAAGTCAGTTCTTGTTTTTGCTCAGTATACCTTTCTATTTTCTCCTTTAATTTTCAGGATCCTTATTGGTCTCTCATTCTCTTGGGACCATTATATTGATTGTCCTCCTGTGTGCTGCTTTGGCCATCAGTGTGATAGTTATTGTCCGACTAAATCAAACCAACAATAAACTAAGGAGAGGCACCACTGGTATAAAAATTTTATTCTAATGCAGACACTCTTGACATTGCATATATATATATATATATATATATATATATATATATATATATATATATATATATATATATATATATATATATATATATATATTCCTTTTTTCTTTCTGTTATTTATGTTTTCTCTACATCTGATACAGAAGCTACTGCAGATTCTGAAATAGCTGTTGCTCAACAAAGTCAGGCAGTAAGTTGGATATATTCTGAGTTGGAAAGCAAATCTTGAGAGTTTTCTCCATCATCATGTTTTTTTTTTTTTCTTTTTTTCCTGCAGACAAATGAAAATGGTTTGATTTATTCTGCACCAAATTTTGCAAAGAAAAAGGCTGAGCAAAAAGGAACGAGAGGTGCAAAGGCAGCAGAGGGACAAATCATCTACGCTGGTGTCCGGACGTTGGGGTATGAATAGTAGCGTCATCTAACTCACAGCCTGAAGAAGAACTTGATGATATATCATTCAAAACAATTCTAATTCCCTTCTGGATTGACATGAGTACATGTGAGAATCATTTTATTATACATTTAATTGGATAGTTTGACACTTTTTTGCTCTGTTTGCCCCTTTATTATATGTTAAGTCTGAATTTACTGCTTTGTACTGTTGCGGCTGTGTCTCTGTGGTGACTATCTGCATTTTCATTTGCTGCCCTGAGAAATTGGGTCTCATATAACAAAATTAAGAGATGTAGCAAATTTACAAGTTGCTTAATTAACAACAACTGCCACTGGCAACAATAAGAACTAAACAAAGAAAGAAATAATGAAAGATTCCTAAGTGTTATAAGTTTAGACTATGGCAAAGAGAAATTTTACAAAAGTAGATTGTATGATGCGAAAACCATTTACTACAGAAAATAAGTTTTAATTTTCAAAAAAAAGTATTTCTTAAACTCTTGTTGACTTTTTAATGATTATTTAATTCAATTTTCCTAATATTTTAATATAGATGCTGTCTGAGTATTTCTTGTTTGCAAGTGTTTTTGATGTGACTACTATTTCTTGCCTTACTGCATAGTACAAATAAGTTTATTCTTGAACCTAGAAAAGTTGACATGTAAAAAAAGAAAAATTGCATGTTGTGTTGGTTCTGGTAATACATGGTATTTTTGTCTGTTTTATAGAGCACATTTTAAGGCCTGTTCCTTAACATTTAAGTTAAAAAATAAATAAATAAACATTACGGTAACTTTAAATTGCTTTGAAACTCCGAGGTGGATTATTGCCTTTAATAATAAACAATTTGTCAATGTTATAACTGGTGAGAAGAAACAAACTGACAGTTAATGGCAACAAAAACCATTAACTGTCCATTCCAGATTTGGAGGAGAATAAATATGAAGACAACCACAGGAGGTAAGAAAAACTGCTAGAACACATAGAAACCACCTGGTTGAGAAGAGGTAGACGAAGCCATGTTTATTAAAAGACTGCAATCATGTCAATCCAGTGTTCAAGCGCTATTTTAAGCTCTTTAAAGGCACTTTCCCAAAGAAGTCATCAGCATGATGCTCACATAATGACTGATTCATCTGAACAAGAGAAAAGTGTTTTAAAAATATAATTTCTCATCATACACTTATAATCACTGATTTTTCTTACTTATTTGGATAACAGCATCATGCAGTTGCTGCAGATTGCTTAGCTGTAAATACATGATGTGAATATCCCCCTCAATATTTTCAGTGGATTTGGAACTGATGACTACTTTTTACTACTGTGAGAAAATAATAAGCAAGTTCATTAAACGAGTTTGAGAGGCTTTGAACCTTGTCTCATGGTGCATCATACTGCTGATAGCAGCCATCAGAAGAAGTGCACACTGTGATCATAGGAAACAGGAGACAGTAAGTATCCCTATTCAGGTAGGCTCCATTGTTTAAATTTATGGCGTTTAGTTGGTGCAACAGGTTCAAGTTTTCACAAAAAAAGTTAAACAAAAGTTTATTTCCCAAACCATTTGGCCACCAGAAGCAGCCTGAACTGTTGATACAAATAAGAATGGATCCATACCTTTGTGTAATTTATGATGAAATCTGAAACTCTTATCAAATATCACAGCTCATTCAATCAGGGAACATTTTTTTTAAAGTGCTGTGGGTTCAGTTTGTGTTGAGCCTGTGTCAACCGAAGCCTCCGGTTCTTGTCTTAAGCTGACAGGAATAGCACTCTTTATGGTCCTCTACTGCTGTCACTCATCTTGGTTGAGTGTTTGGCTTGTTGTGTGTCAAGAAGAGGTATTCTACATACCTTGTTTCTTTTTTTTTTTGTCCATTCTTAGCAAACCCAATAGATGAGTTGAGTGTGAAAACCACAGTAGATCAGTAGTTCCTGCAATACTCAGAACAGCACTATGGTTTAACAGTTGAACTTCAGCAAGCTGGCTGCATGGCATGCAGGAATCCTCATCTGGATACGTGGGATGAGGATACCTGCAGAGAGGACCCAAAAATGATGCTCAAGTAAGCGCATATTACTTGAGCATAATTATTTTGCTCCAATAAAGGGATTGGCTGATTACTGCCATGTTATTGAGTGATTCATTTAAATGCTGTTTAGAAAGCAATTAAACAGGTGCACCTAGTGAATTGGCTGGTGAGTATAAAGAGTAATATCTCGTTCTCAATATCAGCTTGTGTTGGCATATATGTTCAAGAAGCTAACCCGAGAAAGAATCTGGAAAATTTTGTCTTAATGCATCCATAAGAACCCTTACTGTTATAAATTAAACTTGCAAAAAGACTCTCAAGTGAGGCAAAATATTAAAGTAGTTGTGTTTTCAGTATGAGAGTGGCCGTTTCTTTTTGATGTCAGGAAATAACGGTTGAAAAGTGTTTCTTGGAAAGAGACAAAACGTGTTGTAACTTTTGCACTTGCTTTTTTGGGGGGGGGGAGGGAAGAGGCTGAGCAGTTTTACAAAGGAAATAGTTTCACTCTTCAGTTGCTATCACATAGGGTGCTATTTTGTCATTTATCCCCACGAAGAAATGTTACATGGGTTCATAAGTGGGGAACTGAAGTGGGGAGCTTCGATTCCTCCAATGCTACTTTCATGTACTCGTGTACTGATTTGTCCATATGCAGAGCATGTGTGTGTATATTATGTTGTTTGTGTTTAACTGTGTCAGAACCGAATATGTTACTTGCCATCAATCCACCATTTCAATGTATATTGTTTTTATAAATTAAAAGAGCAACTGACTGATTGGGGGAATTACGTTCTACTGCCCTGTAAGGGTTGGAAAATTACTATCACACCTAATTATACCATAAGTTCCGACTACGGTTTAAAGCATCCAGGATCCTGTGGTGAGAAAAGCACCTGCAAAGCATAATTTCACAGATTCTCTAACCGTTGTGGGTTTTAAATTCCTGTGATGCTAATGCACTGTGATTTTATTTTATTTTTTCAAGTTAAGATACATTGACAGGTAGGCTCATCTGGTATTTACATTTTATATGCTACAAATGCATATGAAGAAAAATTACAGACAAATATATGGAACTTTTACAGGGGAGTTATTTTTCAATGGCATCATGTCATAAAACACCAATTAAACAAAAATGCCAATGACATTTTAACCGGCAGCACAATACTTCATAGTCTACGAAAGAGAACTAGAGCCGCAAAACAAAACAAGAGAAAAAACTAATTCTGACTTTTGATCTCAGAAGATTAAATAAAAAAATTAATTCTAATAGACATGTTAGCTTTATATTAAGAAATAAAATCTGTGCAATTGCAATGTTTTCAATGGCAAAAGCAAATGCAAATGCATTTTCTTTTCTTTCTTTCTTTTTTTTAATAAAAAAGTTAATTCTTTATGTCCAACGTGAAAGGGGCAGTTTTTTCAGTTTTTCTGAAATTATTTTAAACTAGTGTGTCATCCAATTGTTAAAGGATCTTACAAAAAAATAGATATGGTTGTTTTGACCCATTTTAAAACAGACTACAAAACCTCAAAAAGCTGACATGCAGAAGGCGCCAGCATGACAGGAAATGAAGTTATAAAATCGGCTATCGGGCGGGTTCATCAGGCAGTTGGACATAACACATCCACCACCAACCACAAACAAATCTCACTCCATCAGGATGATGCACATGTGGATTGTTTTGATTTTTCTTGATCAAGGAGGTAAGTACTATTCACGCTATTCGGCTAAAATTTTCTCTTCGTTTTAATGCAAAAACAGCATTTTAAGCTTATGTTTTTATGTAGAATATTTTGTTGTCCCATTTATGTCTCATTTATGAGATGGTCTTTGAGTATAGAAAACTTTTCTGCTGAAATATTGTCACATGTACGGGGATAAATTTGCAATGAAAACTGTTTTTACCCATTATTAACGATAGTTATTTTTACATTATGCAGATTCACTGATTTCAGTGACCACAGGCCAACTAGGTGAACCTGTAACCTTTACTTGTTGGCTTTCTAATTCGGACTACAGTAACACTCGAGTAAAGTGGTACAAACAGAGTAATGGAGATACTCTAAGATTGATAACAACCCTGATGAAGGCAACTACCCACCCAATATTTGAGCAAGGGTTTTCTTCCTCACGGTTTGCTGCAAACTATACCACATTCACGAGCACGTTAACTATCCTCAAAACTTTTGAAGAAGATGAAGCCCTGTATCACTGTGCGGTATCTACCTGGAATACAGATGAGTGGTCTGGGACTTATTTGTCTTTGAAAGGTAATGCATTTTTATAAGATTCATTGCATGTCTGAAAGAGGCAATTTCTCAAACAATTTCTCAACTTATTTTTACTCTCACATTTTCTAGACGTAAATACAAGATCATCAAACTACAGTGTTGTTCAGTGGCCAACAGTATCTGCCCCACTTCAGCCTGGGGACTCTGTTACCCTCCAGTGTTCAGTCCTACCTCATTCCCAGAAAGGATCCTGTCCAAGTGAACGCAGGGTGTCCTGGTTTGGAGTCAGAAAAGACACTTTCCTTGGAAGCATCATCTACACAAATGAAAATGCACCTTACAATTGTGACAAGAACCCTGACACATCATCAGATTCAAAAAGTTGTGTTTATCACTTCTCAAAGAACGTCAGCTCTGATGACAGTGGGACTTACTACTGTGCGCTGGCCGTGTGTGGGGAGATTATATTTGGAAATGGAACCAAACTTGAAATTGAAGTCAAAGGTAAGAGTATGATAGTTAATAAACTCAAATTAATTTCTGTGGATTATATATATATATTTATGTATGTATTACATAATTGTTTTCAATCACTGTTAAATAAAAGTCGTTTTTACGGGTTATATTTTTATGTGTAAGATGGCTACAGATGGCCAAATTATGGCCTGCTTCTGAGTTGTTCTCTTGTGGCTGTAAGTGGGCTTGCCATTGTTATTACCATCATCAGGACAAAAGGGGATTTCTGGAACGGTAAGACAGCATACATTTTCACGACTAAATTTGAAAGTATTGTAATAAAGCTTTGGTATTTGTTTATTATATTTTTATTTTACCTGTGAATTTTCCTCTTGTATTTTACAGCTGATAATTGTCCACAAGGAAAGGTTGAAAAGCAGAAACTAAAGGTAATATTTTCAAAAAACATATATTATTTACTGACATACTTATATCCGTTTCCTTGCTAAACTATATGATTTGGGTTTCCGCTGATTCATAACAATTCACTAATTTGTGCCTTGTCAGCTCAGTTCAAATGTATTTAATCAAGGACAGCACATTAAACAATGTTGCATGTTAACAACAGAGTAACCATCGTTTTGTACATCGGTTTTCTAGGCACAGTCTAATTTGCAAACCTAGTCCTTGGTTGGACCTTTTTTTTTTTTTAGAGTGAAATTTAAATAACTTTTTAATCTTCACAATGATATTATTAAAATGATCACTACTAATGTGTGTGTCTTTAGTAGTTTCATTGGTTTTATGTCTGTCCATCTGTTTCAAGATATGATGTATCGGTTATTGGTGTGAATTCTATAAAGTTGAATAAATGGCACTATTTAAATCTATCACTGAAATGAAAAAGTGGTGATTTTTTTACAGAGAGAAGAGGACACACTGATTTACTCTACTGCCATCTTTAGAATAATAAAAAATACAAGTCAAGAAGGAAAAGATGCAAAAGCAGTAAAGAAGGAGAAGATCTATGGTTCTCTAAAACCATTCGGACTGTAATAACAAGTCAATGCTGAGCCTCTTTTTAGTCACCATGAAGCACATAGGTGGAGCAGGAGGCCCTATACAGCCCTACTATCTCTCGTGACCATTAATACCACTAACTTTCAGTGCTGTCTTTTGTTTTTTAAAAACCTTTTTCTGGCAGTAGTGGCCTTTATTTCACAGCAATCTGACAGGACAGGGGAAAGGAGGACGACCGCATCAGTGTCTGCAGCCTCTGAATACGGGGAGCCCAATATAGCAATTGTGCCACATGAAGTATAGCTCTACGTAATGAAATTTTAAATATAAAATAAATTAAGTAAAACACATCAAAACACTTAAATACACATTGTACTAGTCTGATTAAAATACTGATCTGTTAAGGCGAGCAGAGTTAGCTTTTGAAATCAAGGCAGTCTCAAACTGAATATTTTAAAAGATCCATTCTTATAAAACTGATAGAGGAGAATGAGCCAATTGTGAAAGTAGCAAGTAAATGGATCAGATACTGATAGCCCTGTTTCCTGACTTGTCTTCATGTTTTTTTTTTTTTTGGTTGGTTGTTTTTCAGATTTAGTAAAGTGAAACCATAAAGAAGAAAGCTTCTGCTCCCTGTGTGTCATTAAAGTGTTAAAATAAAATTTTATCAAAGTTTGCATGTTACTTTTTTATGCATTGAATGAACCATATACACTAAGGTTACTATTTACACTGACTGATTGTATTTGGAATTAAATTTTAATAAACAAAAGATATTTGTAATTTATGTCCAGCTTTTTCAGACATTTTATCCAATATATTAAAAAAATGTCCCTCTTATCAAAAAGTTCAGTGCATAAAATCAGGATCGGCAAAGCCCAGCATGACACCTTAGGTTCTTTCCCCAACTTCTCTATAGAAAAATAGAATATATTTGTTTTTACTTGCATCTGATAATATTAAACAATAATATAAAGATGTAAATGCATGAATGATGTTTTTTATTTAGTGTGTTATTGGTCTGAGGAGATTTAACAACAGATTCATACAAGATGCAACTGATCTATTTTCAAATATTCCAGTAATACCCAAAGGATTTTTGAACAGTTACCACTGCAAGTTTTCATGCACAATATTACCCATTTTGGGGTTTGACAACATAATTACTATACTATGGGAAATGGGTAAAATACGATTGTTCACACAAACACATCAACTATCACTTTGTAGTGAAAAACAAAGGATCTTTTTAAATGTATGCCAAAATTTACATATTTTATATTTTACAGTAAAAAGTACAAATGACTCGATTTTATTGTGAACCCTTTATTGTGAACATTTCTGTACAAAGACATTTTATATTTAAACATATAAGAAATGTTTGCAAAAAGCAAAACTTAAATAGTCAAATCTACAAAACTTCAAAACCAACAAATTCACATTGCAAGCATGTTGTGTCCAAGCTCTACACACACACAGGTCCTGCTCTAAGACATTTCATGCAGTGTGGGATGACCTCCTCTCACACCTGAGTACACACACTCTGGTGGTGATTCTATCCTCTTCTTCACGCCTTTTGTCTTCCTTGTGGCGAAATTAAGAGCTACATAATTGGCTTCATCTCCACGAGCGCCCTGCAAATAATAATTTAATATTATTTACTATTAATGTGCACGTCTGGCTACAGGTAAGTTTTCAAACTTCGTCAATTCATACCCTTAAATTGGGTATTGCCATTTTGTCTTTTCCTATGTCTTTTGCGTTAGTTTTGCTACAACTGCTTTTCAACCAATCTAACATATTATTTAATTCATTTAACATTTTTTTTTGTTCTGATCTCTGTTTGGGCTTGATGGCTTGAAATATCATCTGGATGTATCATAATATCTAGATGGTACATAATATCTTCTACCATAGTACCATATTAAAGCAAAAGTAAATTACTTGGATGTTATTTATTGAACTAATAAATGCACATTTTGTAGAAGCAGAGCAGAGTACATTATAGAAATCACTGATCTTTAACAGGAACAAACTCTTGCTTGGTCGATGCAAATCAACGCACGGTGAACAAAACTGTTTAATAACAACTACAATTAAAAACAACTAGAACTGTGAAGGTACAAAATGACAAATACGTGCAAACCAATTTTCTGTACTTTCATTCATTCATTGTTATTTATAATCCCATCTCACTAGCTCACCATAAAGTTTACAATTAAAATCAATCAATAATATATGCCTTAATTGTTCGGTAATTAGAAAGTTACCCAACAATTATAAAGAAAATGTAAAATATTTTATAATAGCTGTAAATTTGACAAGCCAGCTGTACCAGACAGGGATGTGAGAATTCTGCTGAATCTGGAAAAATGACAGTAAATGTTTTTTGTTTTTTTTTTATTTGGTGCGATGTGGCAATAAGAGACTTACTGTGTCTGTTGCCTGGTTCCTCGATGACTTGCGTCGTCCTGATGGCCCTGTATCGGCCCCTGTCAACAAAACGTAAAGCTGTCAGGAAAAGCTGAAGTTAAAACTTATATATGTGCAAAATCTGCCTTTTATTACTAAACTGGCATTGTAGGATTTATTGCAAAATCAGAATTCTGTTTTTATAATAAAAGAAGACAACTGCTTTTAATGCAAAAAAAAAAAAATAATACAATAAACTTTTGTAATAAACTGAATGAATGGTGGTTTTTCTATATGTATATTATATGCATATTTGCATGATTTTAGCTGCAACAATAGTTTCTCACATATTTCTCTATTTAAAAACAACACAAGAACCACACCACAACAAAACAGAGGAATACATGCTGAAATCTAAATGTAGTTACCATTCTTCTTTTACCATCTATCCTTATCTGTCTGGACAAATAGAGGTAGATATATAGATATAGATAAAATTATTATTGTCCTTTCTTATGTATGTATATGTAAGTACAAGATTGAGCTGAAGCTATTTTGGACTGCTCCAGTAGTCGCTGGCTTACATTGTTGAATGCTAAAACTAGATCTTTACATGTGCTATGAATGATTCATGAAAACCACATTATGCTAGATCTATATTTACAAGTGCAGAGGAACATATAAATGAAACCGTGGCATTTAAGCAATATATACATGTGCACCAAAGGAAGAATGAATTTTTTTTATTAAAATGTACAACTGGTTTTTAGATGCAACAGATGTGGTCTAAAATCCATCTTTTGCCATGAAACAGGAAGGATCATAATTTATAAAACCCAGGAGAATTTATTTCAACAGGTACCTTTAGCCAAATGCAATGGATGTGCTGTCAAACATTGCTGCTTTCAATAGATTGCAGTACAAAACCTCAGTCTGTGTTGAACCGTCAAATAAATAGTTCATTTTCAGTTGCAAATTCAGTTACTAAGTCTATCATACTTGTAAATTCAAATGTTTCCCTTCTCTAAAATTTTACAAATATTCTGTACACATTTAACACTTAGAACCTGCTGATTTTCTACTTATATCAAAGAGAAAAAAGTAGGAATTAGAAAGAATTAGAAACTCATGCTAAACCTGATCCACTACAGTTGCGTTTCTTAAAGGAAAAATACGTTGTTCAGCTATAACTGTGAGAATCTTTGCAGAACCTATCAAAATAGGAAAGAAGAAATTCATGCATAATTTATCATAGAGTGCTGAGTAAAAGCTTGAAATAGATGTGATAGCATACATTTGTATATGTTTAAATGTAAACAAAAAATAATTGAAGATCTCGTGTACCCTTAACTTTGGAACAGTTCTGTATGTCAAACCCACCTTCACAATGTCCAACAACTGTTAGTTTTATGTAGACAATAAGAGCAACGATTAGAGTCACGCAGCACGCCAACAGCACACTAAGTACAAGAACAGGTGGACTGAGATGTGAACCTGAGGGAACAAAAAAGTCAAAGAAGAGACTTTTAGTTGTGTATTGATTAATAAGAATGACAGCGAGTTACTACAAACACTGAGATCAAATGGTTCATGTTTAATGTTCAGTAATTAAGTAAGTTGAGTAAGTTAAGCTGGATATAAATACATCATATTGGTTAAGTGTGAAATTATGAAATGAATAAAAAAGGAAAATTGTGTATTTGTCCTAGGTACTTGGTGTTTGTTTTAAACCAAATAAAGCTAATTTAGTTTGACCCAGCAGAAACATGGTTGAGAAAAAACAATTCAGTAAAAAAAAGTTTCAGCTCCCGATAATCTAAATAATCAACTTGTGCTTTTTTGTTTGTTTCAGATGAACGATATTAATGGTAAACACCAAAATGTTATATACTCTATATCTATTTCAAAGAAAATTTGCATTTTCATAAAACAACTTTTAGCTATTTATTGACTGACGATCAATAATTTGTACGTAACATAAGTGTTATGTAGTCTCACTATGAAAACAGTACTTTTTGAAAAAGAAATAGAATTTATTATACATACTCGTCTCTACTTTAGTTCCTTTTCCAAACAGGATCTTCCCACATGTGAGCACAGCGCAGTAATATATTCCAGTATCTGAGGACGTCTGTATAGTTTTTGACAGCTGGTAGTCACAGCTCCTTTGCTGAGCATCACAGCTGCTTTTGTTAGTGTAAATAAAGCTTGAATGGGAGGCTCCGAATCCGACTCTGAACCAGTACACATTGTTTTTAGCTGGACATTGACCAGAGTTTACAGAAGTGCTGGACAGAAGAGAACAGCGGAGATTAACTGTGTCCCCGTCCTGGACTGATGTTGTCTCTGGGGTTTGTTTGACATGAGTCAGTGTTGGACTGTTATGATCTAGGATTCAGTAAAAAATAAATAGATTGTTAATAAAGACTATTACCTGAAAATCTTGTCTGATCTCTTTGAATAATAACAGAGCTTACCGTTTACGGCCAAGTACATCCCTGCAGCAAAACGCTGAAAATAAGCAGTCCCACCTTGACAGAAATATGTTGCTTCATCCTCTTTACTGATATTCTTGATAGTCAGAGAGCACTGAGAATCCCCCGCTGATAAATTAAAGCGATTGTTGTTAAATTGTTCACTGAGTTTTTGTTCAGTCAAGCTTCCTGAAGAAACTGTCTGGAGCATATGTCCAAGCGGCTGCTTGTACCAGTAGAAGAATTTGCGCTCCGTCTTTGAAAGTGGACAATGCAGAGTAACATTCCCACCAACTTCAACCACTTCCAAAGGAATCTGATGAGGAATGTCATTAGTTTGACTCAGGGCTGAAAAAAGAATGAAGATGATTACAAATGTTAAATAAAGCCCACTGGATAACTTTACAATGCTTAGCTGCATTGAAAAGGAAACTCCTCCACATTTGTGATCTAATAAATATGAACATACTCAATAAAGGCAGTACTTACAAGATATAGCGAGAAAAAACAGAGCAGATAGTATTTTGGCCATTGTGATAAATAAACAAACAAAACGTACAAAAAGAAACACACCAGTCTAACACAACTGATTACTTCCTCACTAAATGAAGTTTTAGCCTCATGATCTTCAATGTGTTCAAAGGACAAATAGTTCTGATTGGCTAAAAAGATAGAAGTGCACTCCCTTCAAAAATAAGCCAATCTATAATTGAATAAAGTAAACAGAGGGGAAAGAATTTTCAGATAATATGAACATCTTTAGAGATTTTGTTATTTTTGATAGAAAACAAAAAGAGAAATAAAGGCACTGCCCGCATTTTCATAAATAATTATGTTAAATATATATAGAAGTTTACACTGAAAATAAACCTCTTAGCACATATATAAGTAATGGTGGTGGCTGTTTGGTATTTATTTTTAAAAGCTTAAAAGGAGGATGTGACTCATCTAGAAAGGGTGAAAAATGTTCATTCTTTTCTAAGGCACTTCACTTCTAATACATCTAATCTTTTGTTCCAAGTTGTTGCCTTCATGGCACCTGGAGGGATGTTGCTCACAGTTGGTCAAATGAACAAAACTGGTGGCCATTTTGTGAAAAACAAACTTCACACTTTTAAGATGATTAACCCTGCGATCGGACCATGATGAGGGTCAGCTTCTCTAAAGCAGAGCTTATGGTTTTCCAACTGCTGCATTAATATACAGCATTTCATCACAAGGTTCTGATATTGGTTGGTACTATATTAAAACTTGTTCAGATCATATTATACAAACCAGAACACAAACCAAGGCAAATATGACACGTGAGGTTCCTCAAGGCTCCATGTTGGGGTGCTCTCATTCACTATTTTTGTGATCCCACTATTTTAGAACATAGAGTATCACATCATCTAACACGCATACTGATGATCGATAGTGTTTTTCAACTTAGCACATGCATGATTCATTTGCAATGTGGACACAGAATGGAATGGTTCTCTGATTGTAGGGAGTGCATACTGCAGAACAACTGTGAGACTGACTACAGTGCTTAGGAAGCGGTGGGTGCAGCAGGGGCTCAAACCAGAACATTTTGCTCAATCAAGACAGTTGGTACAGAGCAATTGGTGCTTTCACAAAAGTCACTAGTCTATTTTATGAAAATAAAAAAAGTCATTAATAGGAACTGAAAAGTTGATAAATATAGCAACAAAGTAGATTACTTGGCAACAGTGCTTTCCCTCATCCTGACCACAACTCCACTGCTCATCTCCACACTTGTCCAAAACTGTCTCTTCACTTTGGTGAAATTTTTCAAAATGAGGGCTGCTGGAGTTATGGTGTTACATTGGATTTAGTTTCACTTTAATCATATAAAAGATAGCATTTCTATTAAAATAAACTTACCATATTAAGTGAGAGCTTTAAAACAAACACCTGCATCCTTTATTAGTTCCACCCTCTGGAGAGGAGCAGATGTTGGTCAAATGTAAATATATGAAGGTCCTAATTCAGTCGGTTTTATCTCTACAGTGTGGAGGAGTGATGATGTGGCTTTGAGAAAAAACGGGTTAACATAATTTAATTTCCAGCTAAACCAAGCTACTCCACAATACAGTATCATGGCATCGTAGTAGGTTTCAGTGTTCATTGAACATTGCAATTTTTTTACAGTGTTTTTGTTGTGTGTAATTTTCAAGGTGCTAGAAAATGTTCAGAAGAAACAAATGGTAACCTGAATGTCACAAAAGGAAAACAAAAACTGTTCGTCAGAGACTCTCTTCTTTAATGTTGGATGTCAAAGGCTGTTACAGAATAATAATAATCATAATGATACATTTTAATTAAAGCATCTTCCAAAACACTCAAAGACATTGTGGCAACAAGATAGAAACAACACAACAATAAATCAACCAACCATGAGAAAATTACATAAATCAAACATTTCAGAAAATGCTTTGAGGAAAGCAATGTACTTTCCTTGACTAATTTAATAATAATAATTATAGAAATACATCTAACTTGTATAGCCATTTTACGACACTCAGGAAAAGCAGACCGTTCAGAAATAGTTTGACCAACAGGGGGCGCTCAGTCTATGTTCAACACATTGGATTTAAAGCACAAGATGATCTAGTAGTCATAAAGTGCAGCAGAAGGAAAACAAGGCGGTAGTTCCAGGGTACATTTTCATTTATGCACCATGGCACTAAAGTCTACTATCTTACTTCTAATGTGCACAATGTATATAATAAGGTCCTAATAATATGTGACGGGATTGTAAAACTAGCTAATTTGACATTTTCTTTGCTTTTATGGAGTGACAAATATTTAAGTTGAACTGGTTGCAGAGATATTTGTCAATTTCATGTCAATTAGGAATCACAACCTGTTTGGTGTGCATGGTTTTACATATTTTGTAGTTTTAAAATGCTTAATTATGTATATACCATGTTTGAACTACTGTTTGCATTGTGAATTAAGAAACTGACAAGCTGGAACTGCTACTACTAAAAAGATACCTAATATGTATCCCATTTCAATATGTTTTACATGCATTCCACCATTTCAACATAAAAGTAGGATGAACAAATATTTAACTTTATATTATATAAATATATATATAAAAAAACTTCAGATAAATGCCTTTTCAACTGTATTTGCTTGTTAAAAATGAAATAATTCAGAAAGAGAGAGAGAGTGTGTCTCATACCTAAAAACAACATCTTGCAAAATTTAGAGCACAAAGTTCCTGTTGTCTTTTTTACAAAGCTGAACACAAAGAAAGCTCACAGGAAATGTTTTGAGTATTTTGTACATGTAGAAGGACAGATATTCTCTTCTCAAAAATTCCAGTCAGTACTTGTTGATAGACGATAATGGCCTCTTTTCTTTCTTCTTGCAGTGTAGAAAAACTCAGTCACCAGGTTCCTATTTGGATCCTTAAAACAATTGTTTCAAGAAATATCAGAACTGGAGACCAAATAATATGGAATATATTTCATATGGCTAAATGGGAATTTTCTAAATATTGCAAAAAAAGAATTGCAAATTTTGTGTAAGCAAATGAATACACTTGAGTGTGAACATGCTTGTGTTACTAACGTGTCATGTTAGCTGATGAAATTAGTAAAAGATATAAAAGTAGAAATATTCTAACTTTAGGTAAACTCAAATGTTTTTATTTATCTTTTTTATTTCTTATTTTATTTTTTTACTAATTCTTAAAGAATTCAGCAGATGTTTTGTGATATTCTACCAGCATAAATTAAAGGTTTTGTAATAAACTAAAAACTGTTTATAAATAACAGAACAATCTTACCTTTAATCTCTGGAGAATATAAGAATTGAAATCACAATCACACAAATACCCAACAGCACACCCAAGACAATGAGAACAGGTTCCACACGTTTACCTTGCAAAAGAGATTAAAAAAAAATTATTAAAGAAATTAATACATATCAGATGTTATTTATTAACATCTGATATGTTAACAGATAACATATCAGTGAAGGCACGCTGCTGTCTGAACAGCGACCCACTCCAGCTGGGGTCCATTAGATTTAGCCAAGGGGCGAGATGTTCCAGCTGACCCCCTAACCCTTAAATTCAATTATTAAATGTGTTTCTGACAAGCAAATTTACTTGCATAAGGAATTGTCAATAAATACATATTTGGTAAATTAAACAGATTTTATTACTAAGATTATGCTAACTATTAATCTATAAAAATCTACATATAAAATGGTGTGTGATTATACTTTTTTTTCCTCATACTGCACATCACAGAATTCAAAGTGATGAAGAAATTAAATATAAAAAAGTAATTTATTTTCAAAAGCAAAAACAATTAACCAATTTTAATATTAGTTTATCTTGGTTGACAGCTGTCTCAGTCCTCAGCCCGACTTGATATCTAGAACAGAATGAAACTGTAACCAAACAACCCAGTTAGTGCTTCAAAGTGCATCTAATTTATTACACATACTTGTCTCTACTTTGGTTCCTTCTCCAAACAGGATCTTTCCACAGGTGACCACAGCGCAGTAATATATTCCAGTATCTGATGACGTCTGTATAGTTTTGGACAGCTGGAAGACACGGCTACTATTACTATCACTGTTCTTCTGAGTGTAAATAAAGCTCAGATGGGATTCTCCAAATCCAGTTCTGAACCAGTACACATGGTAATCAGACAGATTATCACTGGTGTTTTCTCTACTGCTGGAGAGAAGAGAACAGTGGAGATTAGCTGTGTCTCCCTCCTGGACTGATGTTGATTCTGGAGTTTGTCTGACATGAGTCACTGATCGACTTTTGCAATCTAGAGTGCAATAAAAATAAACATATTGTTAGACGATTACATGTAAATCTTGTCTGACATGAAATGATCAGTTTGACGTAAAATAATAGAGCTTACCATTTACGGCCAAGTAGATTCCTGTAGAAAAGCTCTGAAAATAAGCAGTCCCACTTTGACAGAAATATGTTGCTTCATCCTCTTTAATGATATCCTTGATAGTAAGAGAGTACTGAGAATCTCCTGGTGTAAATTTAAAGCGATTGTTGTTAAATTGTTCACTGAATTTCTCTTTGCCTAAAACTAATGAAACAACTATCTGGAGCATATGTCCAAGCGGCTGTCGGTGCCAGTAGAAGAAGTCGCCTGCCTCGTTTGAACGTGGACAATGCAGAGTAACATTCCCACCAACATCAACCACTTTCAAAGGGATCTGATGAGGAACCTCAATAGTTTGAGTCAGAGCTAAAAACAGAGAATTTTTTAAATTAGTAATGAGACACTCTACTCTACTATTAATAGTTTAATTTATTGAACTATTTTATGTAAGGCTGTATACTTACATGCTGCAGTCAGAAGAATCAAAGCAGACAGTTTTCTAATCATTGTGGCAAAATGCATTTTGCAGAACTGACACCTTGCTACCCAAATGACGGTTTACTCACAATATCTTCAAAGTCTGTAGAGTGAAAATTGTTGTGATTGGCTGAAAAGTAGAGTGTGCACTCCCTCTAATGTCCCTCTGATACAATGTCTACATTTTGTTACAGCCTACCTGGGTTTCTCAAACATCCCTTAATGATCAGCGTTATAATGCTCTTTATTCAAATACCAATTGAATATGGTGGTTGATAATGATTTTATGTGCAGGTTTAGTTTTTAACTGTTACAGTTTCTCAACACAATGTGATTTTCTGTCTAAATAAAACTGAAAGATGAGTTGTTAAATTGTAAAGTGATAGCATGTAGTATTTAGATTAATTGATACTGAAAAGAAGATTGATTTATCCTTACATTGAACACTGAAAGTGAAACTGGTAAATTCTTAAGATCAATATAAAGTTTAACCAAAGATTAAAGAGGTTCAGGTAAAGATTCATCATGGAATTGTTGGGTTCAGACTTGAGAAAAACCTGAAAACTTCTATTTCATTTGAGTTGTTGGCAGAGGAATGGGGTTGAGCAGATAGTGAAAAGGGAAAAGGTTTACTTGGCCAGGAGCTATGTTTTGTGTTTGAAGGGTTCTTCCAAATACGCAGCTCAATGAAGGGCTTGGCGACAGAGTTGGGGAAGAAGAGCAAAGGAAATGGACCACCGGGTTCATCTCAAAACATACGAGTGAACATGGAGAAATCCTGAGGGTTGGTCACTGGGTAGTATCATATAGTATAATTAGAGAATAACTCAAATATCATAAAGACGTCTAATGTCACATGGAGACCCTCCTGGGGGTGGATGGATGGATGGATGGATGGATGATGTAATAAGGTTGTTGCAGGTTGCCTGGGAAATACTTTATTGTTGATAGAAACATGCAATGTTTTCACAGTGCACTATTGAACAATGTTAAATCTTTTTGTCAACAATTTTTATACAACAGTTGTTTTTTTATGCCATCATCCAATTCTATGAGAAAAAGTTTGCAGAAAGCATGGTTTGCAACATTTTAGTAGTAAAATCTGCAGCGCTTCAAAACCAACAAATGCACAATATTAATTTGTTGTCAGTCATGTAAGCATGTTGTGTCCAAGCTCTACACACACACAGGTCCTGCTCTAAGACGTTTCACGCAGTGTGGGACGACCTCCTCTCACAGCTGAGTACACACACTCTGGTGGTGATTCTGTTCTCTTCTTCACGCCTTTAGTCTTCCTTGTGGCAAAATTAAGAGCTACATAATTGGCTTCATCTCCACGAGCATCCTGCAAATAATAATTATTTTACGTTACTTATTATAATAATGTACATTATTAATGTTATACTCCGAGCTTCATCAATTCATACCCCCATTTTGAGTAGTGCCATTTTGTCCAATCCTACTTCCACTTTACTTCACACAAACCATTTCAAATGTATGTAGTCACACCATAGAGTGACTTTTCTGTTTTTATTTTTATTTATTTATTTATTTATTTATTTATTTTTGGTGTGTTTAGGTATTTTGTTGAATTATGGCGATAGTGTATCAGTCGGACATGTACTGTAATTTAATTGTACCATAACAGAAATATGCAATTCATTCTGATTTATTTTGGTTCTGATCCTTGTTTGGGCCAGATGATCTGAAATACCATGATCCGTTTCTATGAGAAAAAGTCCGTAATGTTGAGATCCGTAATGTCAGTGAATGACCCAGATGTTATATTGAACTAATAATGAACATTTTGCAGTAGCACAGCATGGATGCATTCTATAAATCATTGATTCTTGATCAATACAAATCCCAAGGTAGGAAACACCCAAAAACATCAGGTGAGAAGCAACCAAAACTATAAAGGTACAAAATGGCAAAGGTGTGCAGTAACCAATCCTCTGTAGTAACCCAAAGTTTTTTGTTTTTTTTATAACACTGTCACACTTGCTCACGATGAAGTTTACAATCAAAATGAGTCAGTAATACCCTCATTGTGGTATATAGACTAATTGTACAACTTAATACCATTAGGAAGAAAATATTAAATATTTTTAACTAACTGTAAATTTGACACATCATCTGTCACAGACAGGAAAGCCTGAACTGTCCTGAAAAAAATTACAATAAATGCATTCTTCTTTAAATTTGGTGCAATGTGGCAATCAGACTTACTGTGTCACTTGGTTGGTTTCCCAATGTCTTCTGTTGTCCAGACGAGCCTGTAGCAGAAATAAAGCTGTCAGAATACACTAAAATTAAAACTAAGAATCCCTAAATTGTACAAAATCAGCCATTCATCAGAATTTATCGCAAAAGTAATGTTCTATGAATGTACAAGTTAATGTTTTTTTTTCTGTTTTTCTTTTTGGCTTTGTACAATTTTATCTGTAGCAAATCACTCTTTCAGTTTTCCAAATTATATTAATGTGATTATAAAAAGACATGCGTACACGTATGCAGGCACACACTTACACACACACTCACACATGCACACACACACATACATATGAAACAGGAAGGTTCATAATTAAAATCTATCTAGCAAAACGCAATATATGTGCACACGCTGTGAAACATTGCTGCCCTCAACATTAGACTCAGGTACTAAACCCATGTATTCTACCACAAGGAAAATAGGTTGCAAATTCAGTTGCAAAGACTATCAGATCTCTAAATATAAATATTTCCCTTCTCTAAAGCTTCACAATATTCTAAACCTACTTAACACTAATGCAGCCATTGATTTTCTGATCATAGTTTTTATCATAGAGAGAATCAGGTCAGGCTAAATCACATTCACCTTTCTTAAAGGAAAAAGAATGTCAGCTTTAACTGTCAAATAGAAAATTTACATTGTATCAAAAAGATTGCACAAGTTCATAAAATAGGAGAGAAGAAATTAATACATATGTCATGCTGAAAAGACACTTGAAATGGTTCTAGTAGTATATGAATTTGAATATGCTTGAATTTAAACGAACCTTGAATACCCTGATAGAAATAACTCAAAATCTTATATACATTTGTTTCTGGAAGAATTCTGTATTTGACAAACCTACCTTTAAAATATCCAAAACGTTTTTGTTTTATGTAGACAATAAGAGAAATAATTAGCGTCACACAGCACGCCAACAGCACACTAAGTACAATAACAGGTGGATTGAATTTTGAACCTGAAGGAACAAAAAAGACAAAGAAGATACTTTTAGTAGTATACTGTATGTATTAGTAATAATTACACTGAGTTATTTCAAACACTCTGAGATCAAATGGTTCAAAATTAATGTTCAGTTAACTAAATGAAGCAAATTAAGTTAGCCATAAATACATCATATCAGCGAGGTGTGAAGTCATTAGTAGACAAGAGTAAAAAATTATTTGTCCTGAGCATTTTGTTTTTACTTTCAACCAATAAAACAAATTCTAGTACGATTAAGAAGTAATTTTACTATAGGCAGGGATGCAAGAAAAAACTTGTTTTTGGAAACAAATTTTGTGAGACGTTTAGCAAGAAATTGTCTGCATCAGATAATCTAAATAATCAACTTTTCCTTTTCAGATGAACTATCTGTATTTTAAAATGTTACCTACTGTATCATCTTTCAAAAAATAGGTCTTTCTAAATCATAATCAATTTTGAAGTGTTTATTAATTGAAACCTTTAATAATTTAAGCATTTAGCAGTTAAGACACTTTTTTGAACGTTACCTCAAAATGCGTTTGTTTGATTATACATACTCATCTCTACTTTGGTTCCTTCTCCAAACAGGATCTTTCCACATGTGACCACAGCACAGTAATATATTCCAGTATCTGAGGAGTTCTGTATAGTTTTGGACAGCTGGAAGACACGGCTACTATTACTATCACTGTTCTTCTGAGTGTAAATAAAGCTCAGACGGGATTCTCCAAATCCAGTTCTGAACCAGTACACATGGTAATCAGACAGATTATCACTGGTGTTTTCTCTACTGCTGGAGAGAAGAGAACAGTGGAGATTAGCTGTGTCTCCCTCCTTGACTGATGTTGATTCTGGAGTTTGTCTGACATGAGTCACTGTTCGACTTTTACAATCTAGAGTGCAATAAAAATAAACAAACTGTTAGACGATTACATGTAAATCTTGTCTGACCTAAGAGTAGATGTATGTTGTAACATAACAGAGCTTACCGTTTACTGCCAAGTAGATTCCTGTAGAAAAGCTCTGAAAATAAGCAGTCCCACTTTGACAGAAATATGTTGCTTCATCCTCTTTAATGATATCCTTAATAGTAAGAGAGTACTGAGAATCTCCTGGTGTAAATTTAAAGCGATTATTGTTAAATTGTTCACTGAATTTCTCTTTGCCTAAAACTAATGAAACAACTATCTGGAGCATATGTCCAAGCGGCTGTCGGTGCCAGTAGAAGAAGTCGCCTGCCTCGTTTGAACGTGGACAATGCAGAGTAACATTCCCACCAACATCAACCACTTTCAAAGGGATCTGATGAGGAACCTCATTAGTTTGAGTCAGAGCTAAAAATAGAGAGAGAACAAGATAATTATTAAAACTGTTAGATAAATCCAATCACTTAGTTTCACAAAGCTTAACTCAAATGAACAAATGCATTCCTCTTTACATTTTCTATCAATTATGAACAAAATGAATAAAAGTGGTACTTACAAGCTATAGTGAGAACAACCAGAGCAGACAGTCTTTTGGTCATTGTGGCACCAAAAAACAAACAAAAAAACAATAGTCTAGCACTGACGAATCCTTCCTCTCTAAGTGAAGGTTTAGTCTCAGGTCTTCAATATGTTCAAGGGGCAAATTGTTCTGATTGGTTGAAAAGTTAGAAGTGCACTCCCTCGGAAAATAAGCCAATCCATGACTGAATTTAGTAAAACTGAGGTGAAACATTTTTTAAAAAAAAAACATAAAACATCCTAAGCAATTTGTGAATTTTGATAGAAAATTAAAAGACACATTTAAAGCACTACCCAAGTTTCTATCAAAAATTATTTTAATAGATTTTATTTTCAGTAGATTACAAAGTAGTCTGACATTTACTCTGAAAATAAACCTATTACAAGAATCTTGTTAATTATTTTTGCCATAATGTACCTCAAATATTTTCATAACAAAGCAAAAATGTATGTCATTTTTTATATGAACATAACTTCTTGACATCTAAATAAACTTTATGTTCATATGCCAATGGCTCTTTTGCTGTTGATTTTAAAAATGGAGCTTAGAAAGAGAAAGAAACTCACATCTAACAAGGTTACAAAAGTAATTTTTAGAACTAATCCCTGACTTTTTAAGGCCGTTCACTCTCAGTACATCAAATCTCTTGTTTCATTAAAGGAGTTGCCTTCATAGAATCTGGAAATTGTTCACAGCTGGTCACATCAACAAAACTGGTGGGCATTTCACAAAAAAAGACACATATAAGATGATTAACCCTGCCGACAAACCGCGATGAGCATTAACTCCTCTAATAAGCTTGGAGGTTATGATTCTCAAAAGCTTCTTTAATGTCCAGTAATTGATTACACCATATTGGCAAATATGGGAGAAGATAGTTGTATTGTTCTGTATTGTGTTAAAACTGGTTCAGATTATATTAGACAAACCAGAACACAAATAAAGGCAAAATATTACATATTAAAGGGGTGCTTTTATCTAGGATTTATTCAATTCTACAACTTCAGAACAAAGGGTAAATTAAGGCGAGACAAAAGACAAACAGCTGCATTGCATTCTGCAGTTTTATTTCTGGCTTTTCAGGCACGATCAGGCAATAAATGGGTGACACCAGGTGAGATGCAGAAGAATCCCGCTCCAGACAAAGACATGCCTCAAACTTAAATACTGCAGGAAACAGGTGAGGGGAATAACTGATCAGAAGACATGGGTGAAAAACATGAGCTACATTAACAGAGAACCAATAACCTAAATACATATAAACAAGAAATAAAACCTGACATCTGACAGAAAACTAAATCTATGAAACCTAAGAAACCCCACAAAACAAAACATTCCAAAACACTGTCATTGTGAAAATATATATTGTCAGCAGACTATTGTGGGACATGATGTAGTTAATATCAATTTAATATAGCCTCACATTTTAGCTTAACTTGGCAAATATGAACATTTAGTGTGCTAAATCTTTTTGTACTCAGCAATTTTTTTAGAAGACTTTTTCCTGCCTGATTTGTTTTGTTCTGTTACAAAAGCAGACATACTTACTTTTGTGAAATACGCTGCTTCCTTTAAGGAAGTCAGTCTTATTTACAGGTTGTTTTGCACTTTCCTCCTCACTGCTGCCTACAGATGAATTATCCGCTTGACTGTCATGTTACCAATCAAAACAGAATTCTGTCATTACTCACTCAGAGTGAGAACTATGAAAAGAAAAAAAAAGTAGGGAACCAGTTATTTTGATTCGCTTGTCCATGTGCCATCAATAGTTACTTGTAACAAACAGGCACATGCGGCGGGGGTGGGGGCTGGGAGTGCTTGAGCACCTGCCCCTTTTGCTCCTTGCCCCCAAGTGCCCTTTTGGTAATTTTTTTTTTGTGGTATTATTATTTTCTAAGCCCTCTTCTGACACATAATAACATTTATTTATTTATTTATTTATTTATTTATTTATTTATGTACAACATAATAAGCCCTCCGGTCACCTTGTTACCTTTGACCTTTTGCCCGTGACGCATGACGCAGTTGTCTCTCGCGCAGTGAGATAAGGCGGCTAACTGGAGCTCAACGTAGCAAACATTCCAGTTACAGAACAGTTTTTGGTGAATTAAACAAAAAATGCTTTTGGTGAATAAAGTGGAGTAGACTTGCTACTTGTCAGATGATGGAAAACATTGAAGTATAGTTTCTGCTTCAGCGGTTTAACCAGAGAGGTAATTAAATACAACAGACACTGACAGGCCTCTGCGTCTGCCTTTCTCTGAAGAACTACTGAGCGGGAGGAGACAGCCAGGTGAGGAGAAACTGTTCTTATCTATCGATTCAGTATTTTTATCATACAGACATTAGGCTGTTGTTGTGCTATTAGCTAGCTGCTAGCTAACGACTTTGCTAGCAAAGCTAGATAACAAAAAAGCTTCTTCCCTGTATCGCTAATGATATCAGCCATTCTTCAGTATGGCTTATGCAATAGGGGCACATCGCCCGTCCAAAACTTATCATCTCCATAATGGATATATGTCCGATCTTCTAATTTCCTTTGCTGCATAATGTACATTTCATTTATTCTGGAATTAGGTAAATGTATCTTGAAGGAGAATAGCACTTAAATAAAAGTACAACAAGGATGTTCATTTGGAATATAAAATAACTCACCCTGAATTACCATGATAAA